TTGCGCCTCTTTTTTTTTTTTTTTTTACTCCTACTCACCACAATCCAGCCCCTAAACAGTGTGGCGGATGATGAACTGGCCCTTTGATTGAACATGTTTCTGGACCCCTGCCTTAGAGTGCACATGATTGTAGAACATACTTTGAAGAGAGTTTGGCTTGATGTAAGTGACCTCATCAATGTGTGTTAATGTTTTCATGTGTCCATGAAGGCTGGCACATTCGCTTCCTCTGTGACTAATCTATTATCTCAATAGTTGCTAAAGCATATCTAATACAAATACATTGCAGCTTCATAGTCCTTAGATGTGATAGCTGCATTTGTTTCCTTTTTTTTTTCCCCATTTACTTTTGCCTGCCGATCCTGCCAGTAACACACTTCCTGTCCAAGGGTGAAAAAGCCCACTTACTGCACTTTATCTATGGAGGTGAATGCGGTCACCCTAGTACAGAAGATGTGTTAGGTCTACAGAACAATCACCCCTCTGCTCATCTATGTTACATAAGGGGAGGTGTTCTGTAAATCACAGAAGACAGCTGGGAAGGATGATAATACTGGCTGAGATTTTATTTCAGTTCACAGAAAGTTGCAAAGACACTGAATCTCTAGCAGGATCAACAGGTACTTTTTTGTACTTGGTAAGCAGCAATTTATTACATTTTTCTTTTGGGTTTCAGTATACAATAATGTGGTAGTATAGGTAATTACTGTAGTAGTTAAACTACCCCGTCTCTAGTGAATGGAAGAGCAAGCGTATTAAACATGAGAAAAGTACTTTTAATTAAACATTGAAATAACTAATCAAAATATGTGCTCACTCCAAGTACAGTATAATTCACCTTTAAGTATTACTCAGGACTTCTTATTTGACTTTCATGACTATCACATGCCTGTTTTTTCCCCAGGAAATACAACAGAAGATAAACACAGAAAGGCTGCATTATACATTTTTCAAACATGATATGATAATGTGCTGGGGGCCGGTTACTAAGAAGGCAAGCGTCATTTCCATTTCGTTAGGTGACTTGGTTGCCCACCAACCTGCAGTACTTACTTTCTGATTTCATCTGGGAGGTCACACTTGGGAAGTTTCCTCAGAGCCGTATCAAAATATCTATCTGTTAAAACAAAGATGAAAGTATGTGGCACAACAACAATCTAGTAAATAAAACAATTTGTGTGTTATTCTTGAGCACAGACGGACTTGTATAACCTGATTAAAAGTTATATTGGTTATACAAACAAGCGCAACTATATTTTCTACAGAATATTTTTCAACTGTCAAACAGTTAAGAAGAAGAAAGGAAAACAGCGTGCAAAGTTGAATTCCCTTAAATGGTGGTGTGGAGGAAGGTGAATGTGTCCATGTGACTCAATTCAGTTTTAGATAGAACAGGAAACCGTAAAACCTCTAAGAAAATATATTTTGCTGTCTGTCCCACTGGGAATTTTTTCCTTGACTTCCTGTCCTTGAGACGCAATAGGAAATCTTTCCAAAGTGAATGGACTTCCCATCCTAGAGAGTTGTAACAGGAACAGGTGTCCCCCATTGGATGATTTTCCCTCACCTTTGAGAACTCAAAATACTTGGACTTCTCTTCACTTCCTGTCTCAGTGACAATAATCAATAGGATACACAGAGGGGTTTATTTCCACAAGTGGAGACACACAAAGCAATAAAAACTTGACATTGGGCCCCTACCCTTCTATAGGTGATCACTCTACAGACAGCAACCTTTAGAGAGGAAACGTATGGAATTTTAAATGGTGATCGTATAGTATATGGCCTATCATAGGGTTACTTTTCCTTAGCACAGAATATCTGAACAAAAAGCTTCCTCTTAACGCCTCTGCATTACAAAGACCATCATGGAATCATCTCAGTGCAGGGTGGGCAGTCTCTGTAGCTGAAAAGTTCCATAAAATTAATCAATAATCACTTGGTTAAAAGTTAGCAAACTGCCCCAGTTCACATGTTTAAATGTACAGAGATTATTGATTTATACTATTATAGTACCTGCACTTTACTCCCACTGGATTGTTGTTTCTCATTATGGGTTGTGATTTTCATATAAACATTGATTTCATTTATCTTTGATACAATTTAGAGGGGAATTATTATGCATTGCATTATTAATTACATTTATTAAGTATATGCTGCTATTGTAGTAAGATGCTGCCTAGAGAGTTTGTATAGTACAATATTTCCCTTAAAGGAGAACTATGGGGTCAGTGCTTTTCCCCATAGTTCTCCTAAGGGTCACAGAAGGCCATAAACTAACGTCCTCACGTGACCCAAAGCTCAGTATACCGCGAGCTACAGCTCGCGATATACTGAGACCGCCGCAGCCGGGATGGATCCCGAGATTACTGTCGAGATCCACCCAGCTGCATGATTGACAGCTAGCTCTGCCTATCTAGAGGCAGAGCCAGCAGTACCCGCCCCCTCCCCTATCCATCCCTCCAGTCAGCGCTGAAGGATCAGAGCGGGGAAAGGGGGAATCCCTGCAGGAAGCAGTGCGTGACAGTCACAGCTCTCTGCAGGGATAGGATCGAGAAGTGAGCGAGAGACTGTATGTGTTTGCTCCCTTCCCGATCTATTGAGCCGACGTGTGACAGTTTCATTGTCACACGTCGGCTCGAACTATGAGGCTGAGTGATTTTCACTCACCTCATAGTTCTTCTTTAAAGTGGAACTTTACCCCATCAGTAAAAATCACATCAGCAACCAGCTCTGTATGCGAATACAAAATCATCTTACATTCATTAGATAAAGAAAGATATTTTGGGGAGATTTATGGGAACACCTTCCACAGCTTAGTTCTTTTTTTTTTATTTTATTGTTTTTTTCCTTTAACTGAATGGCCTGCATTCTATAACATGGCAGCTCTCTTTAGTAACATTGCAGCAGTAAAACTGGATTTCTGGTAGGCAGGGGATACCTATACTGGGGGTTGGATTGGGTGGCAGGTTCAAAAACGCGATGAGAGTAGAGCTGTCAGGGTAGATATAAATCCACAGAAGCAGATCCTGAGCAAGTCAGCTATCCAGCCATTTTTATTTTGGCTGTAATCTAACAGATACTTTACATTTTTCCTACGCCAGTCTCTTACCTACTCATTTCTTTGCTGTGCTCACAGCTACCCTTGTCAGACCTTTATATACTGCTATGAAAATTCCAGGAATAAATTAGATTTAGCAGTGATGAAACTAAAATCAATTACTTCACTGGTGTTTATTAAAAGGCTCCATGTTTCTGTATTATTCTCTCTGTAACAAGCATAAAGATCAGAAGCCAGTCTCATGACTTCCAAGACAAAACATGAGTCTCGGTAGTATAGACAAAGGAAGTCAGCTGTTTAGACGTACGTGTGAACTTTGCCTTAAAAAGCTGTTACATAAATCTATAAGAAGAGAATAGTAGGTAAGTGTGTAAAAATGTTTATGGAACATTTATTTTATCACAATTTAACAGCTGACCACAGAGATAAGTCATATAGAATAAAAATATCAATAAGGTGAAACTTAGTACTAAACGTATAGTAAGGGTTCCCCTACATGGTTGTGAGATCTTGGTCATGGTTGACCACTGAGCTGCACAGCTCCTGAGCCATCAGCAAATGTCAATGAACCTTCATTTATACCTACTTTGAAGAGAAGCTACTGCAGGTCCAGTTGCATAGGTACTGTGGTCACAGCAGCTGTAGCTACTACTGGGTTAATTGCAGGGGGGTCCTGGGTGAGGCCCCCCTACTTTACTTTTCTGCAGTAAGTTTACTCACAGTTTTGCTGTCAAGCCTGTAAATATTTAACAAAAGTACCACAGTGCAGGGCAGTTTACAGGTCCACACATCAGCCATCTTGGAGACACGCTATTTGCCCTGAGGTAAGCTCAGGGCAAATAGGGGAAGGAATGTGTGCTGTATTTCTCTTAATATACAAATCAAGTACAAATAAAGTACAAATATACAAATAAAGTATATTTGTGATAATTTTACTTTAGCTTAAACCCCATCTCTGCTAAAAAGCATTGCATTAAAAATAAATATGTACTACAAAATAGTTTTGATGGTTTCAATGCTGTGACTGATGAAAGCTAGTCTTGGAAGGACACCTTTCACTGCATTATGGATACATTGAATCTTTAGATCCATTCTGATCTGACCACTTGTTTGTTTTGTCCATGTAAACAATAGTTTAAGAAAAAAAAAAAGCATTACCTTTTTATAACAAAAAGCAGGATTCGTGTAGTAATGTATGTTTAGTAAATATTTGTCTTTCAGAGTAAACTCTATGGCTTTAAGTTTAACAATAGACTATTATTTTCTATTATTTTCTTAAAACAGCAGCGTTTAAATCAATATCCTGCCTAGAGTTCTTCCTTAACCTCTATTTAATGCACAAGGTCCATGGACAGCGTTCTTCTGTCAGGCTGTAAGCTTACTGATATATCCAGCTTCCAGATTGTCTTCAAGACAGATTAGAGAAGCACAAAACAGCAGTTTGCAAAACATCAAATGGATTGCAGGAGGTGGTGAAAATGGCAAAAAATACTCTCTATATAAAAGGTAATACACACAACTTTTAAGGTGCCCATACACCTTACGATTATCGGACGAAACTTTTCGGCCCCATCCTGCCCCGATTATCGCAAGGTTCAATCAGCAGTAGTTTAAAAAAAACACCTGGACGACTTGCGATAATTGACCGCAATTATCCTAGATTGCGCATGTGCAGTGTTAATCGTACGACTTTTGACATACGGAAACACCACCAACCATGCGAACATCGTACGATTGACCAAAGTTTTCAAACATGCTTGACCGTCAAAAGTCGTACGATTGTACAGTAATATCGGTCGGGCACGTTACGATTGTCGTACGAAAAGTCGATTGCATACAATTATCGTATGATAATCGTAAGGTGTATGGGCACCTTTAAGGTTAGTTCACACCATAGGCAGTGCGTTCCGATTCTGGCCGGAACGCACTGCCTCGCATTGCGGCCGGCTCACATTTTTGCCGGGCAGGAGGGGGCATGGTGGGCCATTGTAGTGAATGGCACCGTAGCCACACCCTCCGGCCACAAGGTGATCGCCCGCACGGGATCGCAAGGCACATTGTGCCTGCAGTGCGGTCCGGTGCGATCAAAATGCTGCAAGCACTATTTTGATCGCACCGCAGGCACAATGTGCCACAAGTACTGGCATTGGTGTTTAGTATCTGGGCATTTTCACAAGTAGTCGTGAAAATGCCCAATATCGGCGCATCCCTAGTCAGTATATCTGTAGTGTTCTGTCCTCCTCTCTGCTGCCGACTGCTATTTTATTTATATTTATTTCCTTTTATTAAATATTTTTATTTTTTAACTGTACTGCTGGGGGCCTCGATGAATTATCAGACCCCTGATATTTTCCCTCATTCTGCAGCCCCTGTTATAAATGAATAGGAAGCCTCTATACTGAGTGTTCCTGTTCATTCATAACTTGTGTTGATAGTATGAGTTACTATGTACACAACGATGATTGTGTGATTGTTGAGAACAGAGACTAAGGTCTTGAAAAAAAGCACATCTATGCATTAGTGGTTCAGCAGTATAATTTACTTCTCAAGGGGGGCGGGGTGTCACAGGATACACTACAACAGCTAAAAGACTACAAAAAAAGATGAACTCTAGAAGTGTATTACAAGGAAGTAAATAGCCCCTGCTTGTGATGGCACTACAGCTTCTCAGCCCACTTGTCCCAGAAGCTCTTGCAGCTATCTAATCATGTGGCCATACTGAGTTGCTTGCAAGGATTAAAAGATCACATTGGAAGTGGCTTAGAGGTACAATCTGGTCCTTTAGCCAACGTGAAAGTAGGACATAAAAGCAAACAAAAATCAGTTTATCATGTGAGCCACATCATATGTGACACTTTTGCGTGGAAGGTTTATACTTTTGCATGGACTTCAGCAGTTATGCTACATAGCAGTTTGTAGTATAGAAGTTAAAGAGGTCCTTAAACTTCCTCCATTAACTGGATTTAAAGTGACATTAAAGGCTAAAACTTTTTCCCCTCCCGCCAATGTTAATGTCAGCACTTACCTTAAATGATGTCTCTTAATCCGATGTTCTTCTTCTTTCCTGTCCTTTTCAGCCTTCTCTCCAGCGCTGCTGCGGGTCTCCGCTCCAGCGCTGACTCCTCTGTCCTTGCTGGCACTTCCTGTGCCACAGTGTCTGCATGTGGGTGCATGCGTCCATAGACTTACCTTGCGTCTCTCCTCGTCTCCCGGCCGAAAATCCGAACTGCGCGTGCGCCCGCCCCAAGATGCTTTGCGGCCACCCAGGAAATTTCGGGCGGGAGCACACGGCGAAAGTTTAAACCGCTTTTTTTTTTTTTTTACATATATCTCCTGTTTGCTAGCAGTAGATATATGAAAAAAAAACCGGAGGGTTTAGATACCCTTTAAAGTAT